CTCTCACAGGGAAAAAAAAAAAGGGAACAAGAAAAGTTGCAGCCGTGAAACTCACAAAGCTCACAAAAAAAAAAAAAAAAAAAAAGGAGAGAGTCTGACTCACGTCGTGATTGCAGTTGTGTACATTATTGGAAGTGGTAGTGTGAGTGTGCCCTCAGTGAGGGCATCTTAGCCTCATGACCAGATTGTCAGATTCCAAAAACGGAAAAAAAAAAAAAAAATGGAAACACGGATTGGGCCATGAAAATGGCTAGATACATTCCTCTAAGTGATCACGGTTACAATCCTCTGATCACGGATTCCGTTGTCAGATTCCAGAAAGAGTGAGGAAAAAAAAAAAAGGGAACACCGATTCAGCCCTGAAAATGGTTGGATACATTTTTGTAAGTGTCAGTGCGATTAGGCTTACAATCCTCTGAAGAAACACACAAAGGGCCTCGCCTCACTACTGTGGTTTCCCGCCTTCTATTGTCACACAGACTAGTAAACTATACTATTCGATGGCATATGGGTCGAGGCCCCCGAACGTGTGCCGAACGGAGTTGCTGCTAACGTTCGGGTCGAGCGGAAAGAGGAGCCCGACCGACTCAAGACTCTGTTGTGGGGACGCCGTGACGGGCGCCCGGTAGCGCTCCGCACTTTGCGTTGCCGGCGGTAGTCAGGCCGGTGCTTTCTCGTCATTTTCCTGTGAATATTGTGGGACGATGAGACGACTACCACCTCGCGTCAAGGGTTGACGCCAACCATAGCCGTGATGCGTATGGGAGGTATAGGAGTCGGCAGAAAGTCCCCGATAAGAGGTGTCAACAAGTGGAACTATGAGAAAAGACGCGTGCCCTTTGGCACTCATCTTGTCAGGAAGAAAGAGGAACGGGGTTTCGTCGGATGCTGATGTCAACATAGACTTGTCATAGGCTCGCGGTGAAGCGCAGATAACAATTACTCTACTCTACTTACCGGGCCGGAAGCGAGGATCGAACTCATGACCTGCAGTGGTGGGGTATCTGGTTTTCAAGGTGATATTTGGTGACGCGACTGCCCCCCCAGGTGAGGAGAGTATATCACTGCGGACACCTCATGCCGGCAGGGCCAGTCTCTTAGGGATCTCGACACAGGGATCTGGCTGGGGGAGATCGATACATAGTTTAAAAAAAAAAAAAAAAAAAAAATGAAAATCAGGCTAGTCGCTCTCTACGAGTGGAGCTGCATCGGTTGGACAGAACAGCGCGACACCCCATTGGAGCACTACGGACTGGACTATTCAAGCGCTCGTGTCAACAACTTGGCGGTTTCAAAATAAAAGTGATGGTATCATCCCTCTCTCTCAACCCGTATTGTATGGCAATTTGCTTCACTTTGACCAGTCAGTTGAGCCTCGTATTAGGGTGTATACCTATATTGTGTGGGTGGCTAGTTATATTGGCTTTAGGCGTTTATTTATCGGTTTGTTTATTTTTCTCTTTTTCTATCCCTTTGAAGATGGCATCCACATCGGATCCGGAGGAGGTCCGCATTCGCATGTTAGTTGAAAAATGCATTGAGGATGGAATATTTCCAGAGGGGCTGGACCATGGCACGTGTGTCTCGAATGGCCGATCCGCCACCATCACCCTGAATGCTAAAGTGGATGACGTAGTAGTGCGATGGTTGAAAGAAAGGACTATTGTTGTCATTTTCCAAACAGAATCCAGAGCATTCCCGACCAAAATTAAAGAAATGCTCATTCGGATTTATGAAGACGGATGGTATGGCCACCCAGCTATCAATCCATCGCTCAAAAGGGGGAGAGTGAAGTATGAAGGGGCGAATGTGTTTTCATATGTTGCAACCACCAAAGACATTGCTGATTTAATGATAAATAAAGGAAGTGATACGGTTGTTTTCAAGGACCCAAATGTGCTCGGGAGTCCAGACATTCGCTACTCACTTCAATTTCGGAGATGGGCCACGAAAAAGGAGCTGGAGGATCTTAAAGCTCAAAAGGCGACCGATAAGTTTTGGGTGATGGCCATTAGGGTATCCCTTCGTGCTATGTTCCACTTGCACTGGGCAGTCGAAACCTCTATGGCCAAAATCCTAAAGACGTATCCTCCTCAGAAGGATAATCACTTCCCGAGGTTGATGAACATTAAAATGGATTTGGCACCAGAGGCTAGGCAAACGTGGAAAGACAAATTGGAATTTGACAAAGATGGGGAGACTTTTAAACTTGAATTTGTCTCTCAAGCCACCGATTGGTGTAAAAAATATCGATGGTACTATCAC